TATATCAGAAGTTTAAACTAATATGGTTTAAAACGCATGATTTCAGCGCGATAAACATGATAATCAGAACCAAAACAGATGTTTTTTAGCAGGTCCGAGCTGTAATGGTGTAATGTAATGCTCTATTCTGGAAAAGGGGGCGGAGAGCAGCAGCTCATTTACATTTAAAGAGACAGGCCCGAAAAACAGCGTATTTCTGCTTCCACTCAAAATAGGCATTTTCAAAATGATATAATAAATGATCTGTGGAGTATTTTGAGCTGAAATTTCACAGACACATTCTGGGGACACCAGAGACTTATATTACATATTGTAAAAAGGGGCATAATATGTCTCCTTTAAATAACATTATTACATATATTATATAAAGCTTGAAGCATCAGAATCGGCATCGGTATCGGCCGATCACCATGACAAGAAATCGGTACTCGATATCGGCTGCAAAAATCCTGATCGGAGCATCCCTGTTTGTGATGTTCATCAGTTGGTGATGAGATACAAAGTTCTGTAGTTTTCACAGTTTTGTAGGCCTTGGCATATTCAAACAGTTACTACTGTAATGATCATACATTGTTTAATGTACTATTTGCAGGGTGTAAAACCTGAATCCTTTAACTTTACTTTAACCCTACAGTAGTTTACAGTCAGTGTATTTGTGAAAAATCTAAGCAAAACACACTTCAATAAAACAGAAACATTTCATTAAATAAGCTTTACGTAAAGAGATTGTTCATCCAAAAATGACAAACGTTATCATTTACTAACCCTCAAGTTGTTTCAAACCCCTATAAGTTGCTTTCTTCTGCTGAACACAAAAATATATTTTTAAGAATGTGAGTAACCAGACAGTTGCTGGTCCCCATTGACTAGCATATGAGGGAAAAAAAACAAACAAACAAAAAAAATATATATAAAGGCAAAAAGTTAGTTTTAGAGTTTTAGGCCCTATATATATATATATATATATATACAGGGCCTAAAACTAACTTTTTGCCACACCTGCCAATGGCCGGTGATGTGATAAAATTTACCGGCCACACATTTTTTTTTTACCGGCCGTGAAACTATTTTTGCAAAAACAGGCAGTTATTACTGCTACAATGACTAAACGTATTTACAATGTTTTTAATTTGTCCTTTTCTTTACTTACAAGAAAAAAACAAACAAACAGATTTATTGATTTCTCTTCTTTTTTTTGTCCCTAAAAAAAACGAGGTTCTCGTCCTTTGCATGTTTTCAGCAAACGGAGCAGGCCATCGTGTTACGCCTGTTTCACATATACTCCGTTTTGCAGTGCATATGTGGTGCGTATTTCTTTCCACACCCATATTAACGGATTAGAGCAGGGCTATTCAGTTAGCTTCATTTGAGGGCCGGATTATCGAATTGAAAATTTGAAGGGGGCCAAGGGGGTGGGGCCGTCCCGATCTCTTTCTGGGGCGACCTATAAAATTAGAAATTAAATTGAAATCTAAAATCTATAAAAGGTTAACATTAGTGCTGTCTGTCAATCGATTAAAAAAATATTAATCACACATTTTTCTGTAATTAATCATTTATATTGTCATAATTTCACATTGAACCTCCAAATTAATGTAGAAACAACATCATGACAGTATATTTTAAATATGTTTTTAATGGGATCTATTTACTAAGTAAGTAGCCTATTATTAATGAAGTATTGACTTAAAGTATTGAACTATTAAATTAACGTTTAATAAGCTCTGAAATATTAAATGATTTTAAAACAATCTTCACATAAGCTATAAATTGTATATGCATAAACTATACCGATTAATCTTTATTCAAGCTACAAAAGTTAATCAGCGACTAGAGCAGTCGTGATTTCTCTTTTTCTTTTGTTCTTTGATTTACATCAATGACCGACTTCAGCAGGTTTTACTTCAAAAGCAGTGCTGTCTCTTTAAAACCTGATGCACATGACGCGAATCTGACACATATGTATCCTATTTTCTCCAAACTCTTTACGGTCATTTAAGACTTTATAACTCATGTAAGACTACGTTTACGAGGTAACTCGCCAAAATAGGTATTTTGACATAAGTGTGTGTTTTCGTCCATTGAAGCGCTACTGGTGCACTGTCTAAAGCTGCTCAGCGTATGTGTACAGCCGAACGAGCTCCATTTAGGTGGCGTAACCCCAGGTATGTGTCGCCACATTCTCGGGTTATGAAGAATAAAGAAGGGAAAAGTTAATATTCCTAAATGAAGCAGCAATATCTTCTCAGGTAAAAGTTATTAGAACATGCACATGTGTGTATATATATATATATATATATATATACAGTGGTGTGAAAAAGTGTTGGCCCCCTACCTGAGAAGATATTGCTGCTTCATTTAGGAATATTAACTTTTCCCTTCTTTATTCTTCATAACCCGAGAATGTGGCGACACATACCTGGGTTAAATTTGTTTGATGATCTGAAACATTAAAGTGTGACAAACATGCAAAAAAATAAGAAATCAGGAAGGGGGCCAACACTTTTTCACACCACTGTATATACCCCTAAACCTATATATATATATATATATATATACACACACACACGTGCATATATATACACACAGGCACACGTTTGTTTCTGTGAATTGTGAGGACTTTCCATAGACTTCTATTACTTTTATACTGACCAAATAATATGTTCTATCCCCTAACCCATCCCTACCCCTAAACCTACCCCTACCCGCAGACCGGTCCCCACAATGTAGCATAAACAAGTACACACACACACACATACACACGCATACACACACACACACACACACGCGCGCGCACACACACACACGTATGTTTCTGTGAATTGTGAGGACTTTCCATAGACTTCTATTACTTTTATACTGACCAAATAATATGTTCTATCCCCTAACCCATCCCTACCCCTAAACCTACCCCTACCCACAGACCGGTCCGCACAATGTAGCATAAACAAGTACACACATACACATACACGCGCATACACACACACACACACGCACGCGCGCACACACACACACACACATGTTTGTTTCTGGGAATTGTGGGGACTTTCCATGGACTTCTATTACTTTTATACTGAACAAACAATATTTTTTATCCCCTAACCCAACCCTCACCCTAAACTTACCCCTTACAGAAAACCTGTTTGCATTGTTACACTTTCAGATAAACATAATTTACAAGTACACACACACACACACACACACACACACACAGTCAGTGGGCACCAGAAACTGTTTGATTACCCATATTCTTCAAAATATGATCTTTTGTGTATAGCAGAAGAAAGAAAGAAAGAAAGAGAGAGAGAGAAAGAGAGAAAGAAAGAAATGAGTGACAGATGAAAGAGTAAATGATGACTATCCCTTTAATGTCTGCAATACATATTAAATATACTTTTACAGTTTTATTTGTTTGTTTGTTTGTTTCCCAAAAAGCAATATAAGATGAGTGAAAAATTCAGAATTTTACTTGTGCAATGCTGGATCCACTCCAGTAGGTGTCACTGTAAATTCAATACCCTTATATTATGTTTTGGAAGACAAATTTGAGAACTAGCCCCAAAGCAATTCAAAATCACTATTCAGAATTATTAATAAAGTATGAGAAGTCTGTCAACATCCAGAAGTGGTCCTCATTCATAGGGATCTTTAATCAAGCAGCTTTAGCATTGTGGTCCACTTCAGTTTTAGGGTTTCAACAGCATTATGTTCAGATAAAGTAGTACTCAGTGAAATCGTTAGCTTCACGGTGGTGTTTGATTTTTCCAGTAGAGCCTCTAAGAGTAGGAAGCATTTTCACCTCTCCAGCCACCTCCTCTTTTTGTGAAATTGAACCACTCTCCTGCATTAGTTCTTGTCCTTGATAGAAGGATTAACCTTCCTCCAGTTCCATTAAAAGGCAGCCTTGCCACCTCTGGCCTCATAGTCATGTTTTCCAGTGGCAGTAAGGATGAGAAAGTTTAGGTGTAAAAATGCAATATCCTAAAATCTTGCCTTGTAATTTCAGGCCGTGACCTCCTTTAGCAGTGGGATCTTTACTTGGTCACTTCAATTATAAACTACAGCCCTGGTTCAATTGGATCTCTTGTCGGGTTCACAAAAAATGCATCTCCATTCTAATGTTTGAGGAACAAAAGTGGAGGCTTGTAATTCCAGCTTTGTTTGTTTTGAGCTTCTCTTGCAGGGCTGTTTGCCAGAAATTATTTTTGAATGGAGAATGACAGAGAAAACAGTGAATGGTCATTCAATAAAAATGTTTTTTCTATAATTAATGCTAAATCACTCCAATTTTCCTCTTCTTTCCTCACAGCTCAGCCAAATCCACCCAAAATCCACGAGGGATGGTGGGCTTACAAAGAAGTTGTTCAGGGGAGCTTTGTTCCAGGTAATCATTTTACAACAGCTTTTTTTAGTGTTCACGAGTGGCATTCCCTACGCTTATGTTAAGCACACATATTCTTCATTAGTTCTAATTAGAGAACAGTTATTGCTTTGTGACGTAAAATCATATTTTGTCAATCATTTGGGTCCTATTAAATATGTGTCATTAACTAAACATTTTATTTTAAGGAATAGTTCGCCCCAAATTCGCCAGGTGTAGAGCCTAGTTTATACTCGCCACGTCATCACTAGTGTGAAGGTGCATGCAGCGTGCTGCAAAAATGACACGAATATTGAGGAAACGATGGCGGACGGAGGAGTTGGTTTTCAAGGTAAAGTAAAGTAAAAGACCACTTCTTAAACCAGAGAAGGTGAACATGTTGATATTCTTGTGGAAAAAACATGCAAGCACTGTCACCACAGCCAGTTTAGTTTTACTTTTATTTTTGTTTTCATTTTGAAAAGTTTGTTATCTTTGTTGTTTACCTCACGTCACGCTATGGAGGCTTTCTTTTAATTTGTAAATTTATTTGATTCCTCAGTGTTTGCTAAACATTCTGTAATTTATTAGTCGGTATATAATACTGCACGTGGTGTATGCCATGCCTCATCTTATTCGTTTTGGTTAATAAACGTTATGTAAGCTAGTTTGTCATTGTAGTCTACTGTTTTGTTGTTGTTGTGCTTTTTAATTAAGAATGACAATAAATCTTTCTTTTGTTTTAGTCTTAAAAAGTGAAAGGTATCTAGATGTAAACAAAACAGACGATTATCTTTTCTTGTAAAACGTAACAACAAGATCACGAATTCGAAAGCGAAAGCATCCGAAGCCAGGCTTATATCATGGCAAAAGAGGAACTCCCGTTCACAAAACTCAAATCACAAATAATACTACAGATGAAAAAGAATGGGTTGAATGTTAAACACTTTCGTACCACATAACTATAAATTATGATAAAACTATAAACTATGATAAATCAGCATGCATTGATTAATCCCATGTTGTAGCAAAAGTAAATAAATAAAAAATTGCGACCAAATTATGTGCTCGTGCAACCAACTGAGAAAGTTAGTCGCAAAAGAGTGACCAGTATAAGAATGAGTCTAGAGCCCTGACTTGCACAGCAATGGATCCTCTGCAGTGAATGGGTACCAAACAGCTGATAAAAGCATCATTAGTAATCCGCACAACTCCAGTCTATCAATTAAAGGGTTAGTTCACACAGAAATGAAAATTCTGTCATTAATTACTAACCCTTGTGTTGTTCCAAACCCATAAGACCTTTGTTCTTCTTCGGAAAACAAATTAATATATTTTTTATGAAATCCAAGAGCTTTCTGACCCTCCATAGACAGCAACGCAACTGACACGTTCAAGGCACAGAAAGGTAGTAAGGACATCATTAAAATAGTTCATGTGAGCCACTGATGTCACATGGACTATTTTAATTATGTCCTTACTACCTTTCTGTGCCTTGAACGTGTCAGTTGCGTTGCTGTCTATGGAGGGTCAGAAAGCTCTTGGATTTCATAAAAAGTATCTTAATTTGCGTTCCGAAGATGAACTAAGCTCTTATGGGTATGGACCGACATGAGGGTGAGTAATTAATGACAGGATTTATTCTTTTTGGCATTTTGCCTTTATTATGATAGGACAGTGTAGAGTAGACAGTAAGCGAAGTGGGAGAGAGAGGGGGCTGGGATCAGGAAAGGTCCTCGAGCCGGGATTTGAACTCGGGATATCCGTAATGCAACACTGTTATATGTTGGCGCACTACCCACAAGGCTGTCAGCACCAACCATTTTATATTTTTAACTTCAAACTGTTACCTCTGGCTAAAATATGAGTCCTCTATCCATGCTTTCTTGATTGAAAAAGACATCTTGTATCAATCAGGAGTGAAATATGCATAGATCAAGCACCATTTATAGCGTCCAAAACAGTTCTAAAGAAACTTTGAAGTGAGAGGACAATAGGGGATGGATTTCTTCCATCACTTCCATCACTGTGAACACTTCTTCCATCACTGTGAACACTCCACTCCTTCACTGGAGGAAGTGTTATTATGGATTATGAAGAAACTAATTCATCTACATATTGGATGGCCAAAAGGTGTGTAAATTTTAAGCTAATTTCATTTTTGGGTAAACTATTCCTTTTATTTCAAAAGTGTGTTATCAGTGTTGGAATCCATGAATGTTTTTTTTTCTTTTTTTTTTTTCATCTGCTCATTTACAGAAACCACAGGCATGGACCAAATCACTAGATAGATTCTGACATTGATTCATTAGTTCTTGTAGAGATTGTTGGAGATTGATTATTCCCTTTGCTTACCTGGAAGTAAAGCTGCATGGATACAAAGTGACATTAAAAATCAGTGTTTGATCACGCTGCTACTTGTACTTATAGCATGATGCATGATTAGAGCTCTTGAAACAAAGAGGATGAGTTAACAGCAGAAATTGAAATGCCAGACAGGTTGAAATGCATGAAGGATTCTTCTGGCTTTGGTTGTATTTTTTATATTTTCAGATTAAGGATTCTTCAGAATGGTTTACAAACTCAATAATCTGTCCAAGTAATTCCTCATGCTTGAGCACAAGTCAGATTTCATTGTAAATTGTTCTGCTAATGAAGACGTTCTGACTTGAGTTATAGGGATGTGAGGATGGTCTTTCTCCTGGTCTTCAGAGGGTTGTTGTTTCTTTCTATCTATTCTGTGTAATTGCATATTGTTTTTAACTTGGAAGCAATCAATTTGTGTCACAGAGATTTGAATCAGATAAAATGCTGATTTAAAAATCAATGAATGTTTGCCACATTTATTATTAGTGGCACATTTCTACAGATTTGAAAGACACTGGGTCTTATTTACTAATTGTGCTCAAGTTGAATTATGTGCACAGAAAACATTCTCCACCTGATTCAGGTGCATATGCTCAAGATTTTGTTTCTGAAAAAGAATTATTTTAGGATTCTTTGAATAGAAAGTACAAAAGAACAGCATTTATTTGGAATATAAATCATTTATAACATTATAAATGCCTTTACCGTCGCTTTCGGACAGTTTAATGCAGTAGTGTAGCTATGTGCGTACACACAGTTAGTGAATGAGAGCCATTATCTGCAGATGAAATTTATTTTTCACCGATTGCTCTGTCTGTCTCTCTCTATAAACTATAAACCTCTTTGTGGAATAGTGGCGTGATGAGGATCCGTTGGGGTCAGCAAAGGGCCATCAACCTACATAACATGAGCAAGCCAGACGTCCAAGCTTATAGTTTATGATACCTTATTTATGTTTATGGTTTTATGTGCTCTTTGATCCTTTTTTTTAGAGGATTACACTGTTCAACGTTATGAGGGAGGGTAAAAAGAAGGATTTTAAAAGAGATAAAGCTGGAGAAACGTTTTAAACCTTTGTGTCTGAGTCAGAGTCACATCCTGTGGAATATCACGCTGGGCTTAGATGCACACCATCTTGAGCTGCTGAGAGGGGTGTTGGATTGGCAATCTGGTTCCTGTTTATTCACCAGAGGTGTGGGAAGGACTTCGTGTTAGGGAAGGGGCAGCTGTATTTTGATGATTGTTTAATGCTCTGTGCCTGGAACACTAAAGTGCCTGTTATCTATGAGCCCCAGCATTCGTGTTTCTGAGAAGCTGTACTGTATGTTGCATCAGTGTGATCTGAGTGTGCCTGTGGGGCAGTGGAATGGATGGTACCCCTGACCGCTGCTGGCTGATGAGCTACAACAACGTTCAACTCTCGCCAGTGTTCTTAGCATGGCTTTGATATTGCACACTGCAGCTGATTTTGTTGTAAAAGAGCGAGAAAAGAAGAAATTCTAGTGATTTACATCCTGTGATACATCCATCTCCAATTCAGAGTAGAAGTGGGAGGCGTACTAGAATATATTTGGCACAATTAAAAAAAAAAAGTTTTGATTTATTATTATTATCAGCAGTAGTAGTAGTTACTTTTATTCAACAAGGACTCATTCAGTTGATCAAAAATGACATATAAAGGCATTGAGAACGTTCCAAAAGATTTCTATTTCAAATCAATGCTGTTATTTTGATCTTTCTATTAATCAAATACAGGAACAAAATTAATAAAATAAGTAGCACAACATTTTTCAACATGGATAATAATGAGAAATGTTACCTGAGCATCAAATTAGCATTAGAATGATTTCTGAAGGATCATGTGACACTGAAGACTGGAGTAATGGCTGCTGAAAATTCAGCTGTGCCACCAAATGAAAACATTTTTACAATATATTTTAAAATATATTAAAATAGAAAACCGATTTTAAATTGTTATATTTCACATTTTATTTTATTTTATTTTATTTTATTTTAATGAATGAATGTGCTGGTCAAATAAATGCAGCCTTCGTGTGCATAGTAGTGTAAATTACTAATTTTAATATTGTTTTTGTCTAGGTGTTTGGTTGTATTTTTTATATATATATAATATTTAGATAAAATAGTGCAAATAGTATACTTTTTAATACCATCTTTTTGTCAGTTATTTGCCTTGTAATATTATGAAAAATTATAAAATATTGATTTGTTTCAGTAAATGTATCTTACATACAAGTTTAAGTACAAACAAGTTAAAAACAAGTTAAAAAAATCTGAACATTGTGACATTTATATTTACATGGTGTGCCATGTAAAGAAGCTTTCACCGATTTATTGTTGACCTTTGACCTTTCACTGACAGTAAGCATGTTAAAGCACTGTGTGTACAGTCATATGTTGCACATCTATCTATCTCTATATGTAATGTTAGAGAGTCACCAAAAGCTTTCATTTAAGCTGTGGTTAAGCTACACAAAATCAATGAAGGATGCTAATAGCAGGTAGATCCTGCATGTCAAGCACTTACGAGCAGTTTACGGATTGACACCCACTGGTCGAAAAGTAATTAAGGACAGAGAAAAATGGTCTTTGGAGCTCTAGTTGAGCTGGGTCTGAAACAGAGGATGTGTAGCCAG